CGGCATTTCCAGAGGTACAGCTGGCAGGCCGTCTGCGGTCACAGTCAGACCCCGGCGCTAACCTTATTCCATTTAAGGGGGGCAGCCCGAGCCCAAGCAAAGAAGAATGTTCCCAGGCATGAGTGCAGCGGAAGTGAGGAGAGGCAGCTCCTGGCAGTGCCCCAGGGGAACATCAAATTTAGCCCAAAGGTTGAATACATAGATATTTAATGACAAAAAACATAACATTAACCTAGTTTAGAAAATAAGGGGAATTACAGCACCCCACAGACCCACCCTCTGGCACAACCGCGTCACCTTTCTTCCTTTCAGGTCTCTGTTCTTACAAGTGCCTGCCTGTCCGCATTGTCATCAGGGTGGACATACTATTCTGTATCTTGCCTTTTGAGACTCTGTGGTAAGCACTCGAGGGAAGCCTGCTGCAGACAGCGCGATGGCGTCTGAATCCCAGTTCTGCCACCTACTAGCTATGCCAGTGATGGCGAACCTTTTGAGCTCGGCGTGTCAGCATTTTGAAAAACCCTCACTTAACTCTGGTGCCGTGTCACATATAGAAATTTTTTGATATTTGCAACCATAGTAAAACAAAGACTTATATTTTTGATATTTATTTTATATGTTTAAATGCCATTTAACAAAGAAAAATCAGCCAAAAAAATGAGTTCGCGTGTCACCTCTGACACGCGTGTCATAGGTTCGCCATCACTGAGCTATGCAGTCACTGAATCCTTCTGTCTCCTTTTCTGTAAAGTGGGGTCACATGGCCTCACAGGATTACTATAAGGATGAAACAGTGATTCATAAAATCTGTTTAAAAATAAAATAAAATCTCTTAGAAAAACACCTAGAAAACAGCACTGAACAAATGCAAGCTTGTTTTATAATTATTACCAAAATATGTGGGTTTTTTTAAAATATATTTTTATTATTGATCTCAGAGAGGAGGGAGAGGGAGAGAGAGAAACATCAATGATGAGAGAGAATCATTGGTCAGCTGCCTCCTACATGCTCTACCCTGGGATGGAGCCCGAAACCCAGCATGTGCCCTGGCTGACCGGAAATCGAACCGTGACCTCCTGGTTCATAGGTCGACGCTCAGCCACTGAGCCACGCCAGCAGGGCTGTGGGAGGGTTTTAATTGACTTTCCCCCAGCCCACACTCTCTATGCAGGTTGTTTCACTGGCTTCCATATGTGCAATTGTACCTCAAGCATTTGTAAGTCTAAACCCCTCCCAGTTCTATTTCAGCCCATTCAGAGAAAAGGCCCAGGAAGATGGGGAACAGCTTCCGCATGCCCTGGCGCCTGCTCCTGGTTGGACAGCAGCTGCTGCCCAAGGGGACTTAGCGCTGGCCAGGGGCAGTGCCCAGGCGACGAGCTCTCCTGACCAGGTTCGGGCAGGGCCCTGGGTTTCTGTCTGAGGAAGCCCCTGTTGGGAAGACCATGTGCCCCATCACAAGGGCCTTGATATGGGTGATAGAAAAGTCAGCTAAGCTGAAGGGACAGAGGGGACTTACGCCTTGTTTCCAAGCCATGACCCCCAAGGTTGTGCTGGCCTTGAGTGTGGGTGAAGGAGGTGAGGGCCAACTGGGGTGCTTTCAAAGGTCCCACACCAAAACCATCTCCCCTCTCACCATGCTTGAGGCGGTGCCCGGGCATCTCATGCTTGGTCATTCCTTTGGTTTAAGCGTTGAAGGCATCTATTACATCATGAATACTGTCAGCAATAACTCACAGCACCTCAGTGTAATGCTGAATGGGTCTCCACCTTGTCCTCTGCCTAAGACTTCCTCCTGGGGCCCTGCCCAGTGCCCAGCCCCAGGGTGGAGCTCTGCTTCCCCAGGTCACACTCCCTCCTGGAGGCCCAGCTCCAGGCACAGAGCAGGGGCTGTGGTCCTGCCTCCAGCTGAGCGGTGTTCCCCACGCGCCTGCCTCCCTGTGTCTTGCACAACTTCTGTGGCCCAGCTTCCCTGCTGAGTGCCCTCTCCTGTCCTTCTCCCCCCTTCTCTGTGCTCTTGACTTCTTGCTTTTTAAAAACATTTTCCATTTTAACCATTTTTAAAAAAGATTTTTCATTGATTTTTAGAGAGAGAGAGAAAAACATCAATGTGAGAGTGGAACCCACAACCTTTCAGATGCCCAACCAACTGAGCCACACCAGCCAGGGAGACTGCTTGCCGGTTCGGCTCCTCTGGCCCAGTGCTCTCCTAGAACACGCCCGCTGGCTCTGGCCCCACCCATGTGGCCAGTCTCGGCCTGTCAGCCTGAACTGCAGAGAACAGCCTAGTTTACAAGGCCCCCGGCATGCTACGGGAATCTGTACTGAAAATGATAGTTACAACACCACGCAGGACTTTTTAGAACCTTAACCTGTACTATTTTTAAACACCTTTTATATGCTCCTTTCGCTTCTTTGAGTAAAACAATTTCTCTCTCCCCTAAGGCTTTTGCTGAAAGAGTATGTGTGTTTTGTAACAGTTGGTGCCAAGCAGTGTTGTTCTAGGTGTTACCTAGGTGCTGCTTGAATTCTGTGTCTTTCAAAAATGTTGGACCAGACGGAGGTGAGGGACAGCTGTGTTCTGGGGTTTCCGGGAAGGAATCGGGGTTCTTCTCCTATGCATCATGCCTGGTTTCTTCTCACAGGACTTCCTGCCCACCCCTCTGAAAAAGCTTTCTCCCCACCTTTGCCAGCCCCCTATCTGTCTCCTTCTTGACACTCAACCACAATGTGTAATTGTGTTTGTTTACTCGGGGTACTGTGACTCCCCCGTTACACTGTAAGCTCCAGAAGGCAGGAACCATATCTGTTTTATAAAATCGTATTCCTAAAGCCTAAGACAGTGCCTGGCCCAACGTAGTGCTCAACAAATGTTTGTTGAATGAACGTCTTTCTCTTTTCCAATTGAAATGATAATAAACAAATGTATAGACTATCCCCATTTCTGTTGCCCATTAGGTGACCAACAAAAGTGAAACCCCTGATCCTATTCTATTTACATATATTTTTTTAATATATTTGATTGATTTTTTACAGAGAGGAAGGGAGAAGGATAGAGAATTAGAAACATCGATGAGAGAGAAACATGGATCAGCTGCCTCCTGCACACCCCCTACTGGGAATATGCCTGCAACCAAGGTACATGCCCTTGACCGGAATCGAACCTGGGACCCTTCAGTCCGCAGGCTGACGCTCTATCCACTGAGCCAAACCGGTTAGGGCTCTATTTACCTATTATTTGTAAATTCTGCTCAATGTCAAGGGCCAATACGCCGGCCAAAGATGGGGGCTTCCAGGATCTACTAAGGATTGGGAAGTGGGCAGCTGATCTTCAGCAGCTCCTTCCAGCCCAGCTGTTCTCTTCATCTCCACATCCAAGAAAGCAGCCCTTCAAGACCCCTGCAAGGTGCCTAGTGCCTTCGTTCTTTTGTTTTTTCTCTGCTCTCAAGATTTGCTTTTAGGAAGAAATCTGAAACTCACTCCTAATATGATTCTTTATAGAAGTGTTATTAACAGTTTAACTACCTCAACACTTTAGCCGTAGGAATAAAACACCAGTGTAGGCATTCTGGTCTTATCTGGCACTGGAGGAAGGAAATGAAGGAAAGGAGCCTACAATTTAGTGTGTTCGCTATATTATTATCCAGATTTCCATCTTCATTGGTGAACCGTTGGGGAGGGAAGGGAGGAAAGAGGAAATGAGAGTAGATACATGAGGTTGAAATCTTGCTATAAAACACGTCCCTTGGCGTTTGCAGTCTGGGTGTAATATAAACTGTTAAGTGTTAACAGCTATGTTTATAAAACCATGAGATGCACTTCTTTTTTTTTCTGGGAGATAAAAAAGGATCCAGATGCTTTTTCCATTGGACTACGCAGCACCTCTGGGCGGGCGCCTGGCCCTTGGACAGAGGCCACGGCACCCGAGCTTTCTGGGAGATAAAAAAGGATCCAGATGCTTTTTCCAGTTGGACTACGAAGCACCTCTGGGTGGGCACCTGGCCCTTGGACAGAGGCCACGGCACCCGAGTCTCAACAAGGTGTCACAAGGTGTGCTCTCTGCTCTCTGCAGCCCTTTTCAAAACAGCTTTCCTTCCCCGATAAACAAGACTGACAGACGGTTCAGACAGCACTTCTATGCGTTTTTCGCAGCCTCTTTCTTCCTCTGGGAAATGGCGCCCATGTGTCGGTGAAGGGCAGGGTGGTTCCTTGACCCTTTTGGAGCAAGAGTCATTTCTCCTCCTTCGTAAAGATAAGACCTCAATCAGAAAGGCCATGAAAAGCTGCCCCGCTACCAAGAATCTTAACCCTCAGTTTCCATGTCAGTAAAAGGGGTTACCAAGGCCTATCTCACAGTCACCCTTGAGGTTTTCACTTCTCTAAAGCCTTAGCTACTCTTGAAGGCCCAGGGAAGGTCTCTCCCCGTCTATGTAGTTTTTCCATCTGTATCATTTTTTGGAGCCTTGCGGTTCTTAGATTAACAATAAATGAATTCGCATTTAATTCTATTCTAATTGTTTCCTCTATGGGGGTTCATTTGACCACCTTAGGCAGATTGTGAGGTCCACAAAGGGAAGTCCTGGAATCATCTCTTAACATAGCAGATTTTCAACTACGATATACTCAACATAATAACAAAAATACTAAAGGTAATAACAGCAGCCATGCCAACAATTACCATCTAATGACAGACCGTTATTTCCCAGGCACTCTGCTGAATTCTTTATGATGTTTCTCATTGAACAACCCTGTGAGGTAGATATGACTGGGTTCAGTTTACAGGTGGGGAAACCAAGTCTCCAAGATCAAGTAGCTGGACTCCAGCTGTAAGTCAGCAGCTGGGACTTCAACCCTTGCATGTCTGACTCTAAAGCTCGTTGCTTTACTGACTGGCTGTTGAGTGGGGCCCATATGCTCCCCTCCCCCACCAAGTCTGCCACCCCTCTCTTGTAGTCACAGCATGGAAGAGACACAAGGAGAGAAAACATAGAGCCAGACTTTATTAAGACAAACTACACATAATATTTTCTTTTTCCTTCCTGAAAGGCCCATCATCAAAAACTGGTCTCACAGCATTTCTAATTCAAGAACACTCATTTCACAAAACAAAGATCTCAGAGATGGAAGGAGAGAGAGTCTTTTGTGCTTTGTTTTGCAGAGTCTTAAGGCCAGCGCCAGACAACAGATAAGAGGGTGTCCCAGTCAGTTCCCTCTACCATCAGCCTTCTTTCCACCCACCAATCACCTCCAAATACCAGCAGAGGGGCCAGGAGATGGGCAGGTGGGCTAGAGGCTCAGCTTCCCTCTGAGCCCACACCCTCCTCTGTCCCACCTCTTATGCCCGTCCCTTTGGGCTGACGACCCTGAAAACAGTGAGGCTCAGCCCCTCTGTGAGGCATCTGGGGGGCAGGCAGAAAGACACAAGTTTCTCCAAGGTTTCCTTTCCTTATTTCAGACCTCCTTTTCCCTTCACCCACCCCATCTGCAGGCGTGTGTGTGCTTGTGTGCATGCCCCCCACACACACACACACACGCATTTTTAAAAGTAACCATTTCCCTATACATCTCAGAATCCAATTCTGAGCATCCTTTACCTTCATCCAAAATGGCAACCCATTATGCATGGACTGAATGGAGAATCCAGGCCAGTCCCTGGGCAAAGCGGGCTTGTCTGAAGTCCCCTCCCGGCAGCTTCATTAGGAGCACCAGGGAGCCACAGGGATCTCTGTGCTCTTAAAGGAGAACCCTGCCAAGAGAGCTGGCGTTTCCCCTACATGTCTATGCCCTCGGGGGAGAAGGAGCTGGGGGCTCCCATCGCTGTCATCAGACCTCTTCTCAGCACTCTAATTGGCAGTCAGCGAGGGAAATAAATAGGAAGAAAAAAATCATTTTCCAGTATTTTCTCTCCTCTTTTAATTTTCATCTTCACAGCAGACTTGCTTTTTTTCCCCAAGGGGAATCTGAGAAGCACAATGTTCTTGTTGTTTTAATAAGACCTGGGGAAATTCCACTGGCCTCCGTGGCTGGTGATCTGGTCAGGATCTGAGAGAGGACGATGGCTTCTTGGGTCTCCTGGCTGGTAAGGCCTGTCGGGGAGCACTGAGTGAACAGCCACCGGAGGCCAGGAAGGGATGGTTTCTGTCATCGGGCTGAACTGTAAAGAGCTACAGGACAGGTGGTGGCAGGAATTCCAGGGAGTCTGCGCACAGTGGCTCCCGAGGGGAACGCGCACCCCCTGGCCTGCTTGTGCCCACCCCCTGGCAGAGTAAAGGCGGGACCTTTGCCCGGCGTGCATACCAAGGCACTTGTAAAGTCGAGGCTGCTGGTCAAGCTCCAAGGACCTCTTTTTAGGTCAGACTGGGTAGAGGCAGCGGCAGCCAAGGGCAGCCCAAGGCAACCTCAGCGCCTGCAAGGCTTGGCCCGTGGACACCACAGGTTCCAGAGCACACCTCGTGCAAGTTCCTTGGCTCATGCTCTTTACTGGCTAGGAGCTCTGGGGTCTTCCTTGCAGGAGGAAGGGTACTCAGTTCACAGGCGCCATAGAGACTCGGAGAACCCTCTGGCACGTGGCTGGCATGGAGAGAATTATCCTCTCTCTCTGGCTACCCCTCCCAGGCCAGGTTTTGCCTCGGTCCCTTCCCTTACTCCCCTGTTGAGCAAGTAACCTGAGTCTTCACTGAGTGCACTGGGTAGAGGGTGGGGGAGAGACAGAGGCCTGGCTAATCTCAGACAGCACTGGCCCCCAAGGAGCAGAGCGGTGCTGAGAACAAGACAGGTGGGGTCGGCAGGAACCCCTCTTCCTTCTCTGAGTCTCCTTGGTCCCCACCTGGTCCTAGTCCCCCCCACCGGAGGGTCACACTGAGAGGTCATCGGACCTGGCCTTGCTGCTGGCCTTGCTCAGTCGGCGCTTGTCCCTCTGGTAGCCCTGGGGGAGGCCGTGCCCTGGGGAGACGCCATTGGGCACCTCCGGCTTCTGGGCATAGCGGATGTGAAGGAAACCCTCCCCGGGCATCTGCTCCTGGCCGCGCACCTGCTCGGTGGCCAGGTTGTCCGTGTTTTGCTGGGAGGCCATCCTGTTGCTGAACGGGTTGAAGAACTTGCCCCCAGGACCGTTCTCCAGGCACTGGCTGAAGTCGGGGGGCGGCGTGCAGCCCGGGGCCGAGCCCGTGGAG